AACATCCAAATTTTTACAGCTTTCCTGAAGGCCATGAGAGTGGGTATGGTCCGGATCTATGGGGCTAGCTGATTCCAAAGAGTCGGAGCAGCCACAGAGAAGGCTGCCCTTCTCCTTTTGCCCTTGATTATTCTGTTTCTCAGTTTAGGCAGTGAAATACCTCTGAAAGGATGACCCAACAATAATGGGGCTGTTCAGTGATTATTAAGTGCCTCTTTCTGTGTGTGTGAATGAATGAACGAATTATAAGGCACACCTACAAATATAAACAAGCAGCTTTAAGCTCTACCTGTGAAGAAGAAGGAGGCGGAGGGGAGGGAGAGAGAGAGACACACACAGAGAGAGCTAACTGGATTAAGGTTCTTTTACATTTATTTCAGGTCCAAAAAAGTCACAATGCCTATCGACATCAGGGACGTGATGCAGCTCCTCTGCCATATTTCTGAAGAGCGAAAAATGAAAGCAGCCTTCAAGCACTCCGGGCGAGGCGCCTTGGTGGTGGGAACGACAGCTTTCTTCGGTGGTTTGATGGCAGGCCCGCCTGGCCTTGCTGTTGGTAAATTAATGCTTCGGCTATGTGCATAAATGCATCCAGGAGTTTTGGATGGATGCACAAAACTCTAGCTTTTAATATGAGGCGGGGGGGACGGACATAGCAATAGTCCTTAGACTTATATACCCCTTCACAGTGTTTTCCAGCCCTCTCTAAGTGGTTTACAGAGTCAGCCTCTTGCCCCCAACAATCTGGATCCTCATTTTACTGACCTCAGAAGGATGGAAGGCTGAGTCAACCTTGAGCCAGTGCAGGCAGCCGGCAGTCCCAGAAGTGACCTGCAATACTGCATTCTAACCACTGTGCCACCACGGCCCTTATATATCTTTAAATAGATATAAAATAGGACAATGCAGCTTAAAAATCTCACAGAGCCCTTATCTGCCTCCAGAACAATGCCGCTCGCCTTTGCAAACAGTCAAGGGATTCTAATCATTCAGTGATGGTTTGCCAGAGAAAGTTGAAAGCTGCCTTATATGTTCTGTTTTTCTAGGAGGTGCCATTGGTGGCTTGCTGGGGGCCTGGATGACCTCCGGACAGTTCAAGCCCATTCCTCAGATTATCCTGGAACTGCCTCCTGTGGAGCAGCAAAGGCTTTACCAAAACGTCTGTGCCATTATTCAGAATCTGGACTGGACCGACGTAGCCCAGCTCACAGCCTTGGTCATGGCCAACGGTGCCCTTCAAGAGAAAGTGCTCGGAGTCCTGACAAGCTACATCACCACTGAACTCAGAGGGGAGATCCAGTATGGAAACTAGACCCGGATGTGTGTTTCATGGGGTTGTGAGTGCCTGTGGCTCCCTTCTGACCCCTTTTCTCTGGCGTTTTAGATTATCTTAAGATCACGGTTTTAATAGGAATAAGAAGATGGCAACCGTGCATTTTTCTTTTACCCCGAATAATCTGTTTGGGAAAATGAACAAGGCAAGCTTTGGTTTGCCCATTCTGGTTTTGTTATTTTCTCTTTCATAATTAGTCCCTATTTCAACAGCCAAGGGTGGATCGGTTTGAGCCACGATGTCCACCGTATTTATTTAAAAATCTATTTATGCCACCCCAAAAACTGGATTTGGAGTGCCTTGCTGAGTAAGTACCTCTCATTCATCGGACCTCAGAAGCAGTGGCCTCTGTACCAGTGACGCCTTCCAAGAAAGTGCCACCATTACGTCCTTGCATTGCAGTCAAGGATGTAAGTCATGGCGTTGGAACTAGGATGACATCCCCATTTGATGCTCTTTGATGTGCATCGTTCTAGATGAATAATGATACACTGCACAGGTGTCAGCCTTTCCTGCCCAGTTACAAGGGTGGGAATCTATGACCAATTGTCCTACCCAAGTACGTTCTTTGGCTGGAGAGAGAGAGGCTGGTGGATAACATATCTTCAGGATACCAAGTTGGAGAAACCTAATGTAGATAACTGCACTGTGATTGAATTATGTAGTGCCCTCTTGGCCATATTTGAATGATCAAATTACTTGAAATTTCTCAGGGGGGGTATGATCTTCTCCACTGGATGTGTTTCTTCTCCTGCTGCCTTAATTTTGAGAGGGTGAAGGAGTGAAAAGTTGAAATAGTCCGAAGCTGAAAATGTAACAGATGATTCACTTTAGGTATTTCTCCTGAAGATAAAATAAAGCTGAATTTTAATGTGTTTCACTGCCAAGATTGTATGACTGTTATTCCCCTTCCTTTTAGAGATGCTAAACTGGGTTTCCTTCAGTTGAGAACGTTCAACAGGAGGAGAGAAGGAAGAAAGATCTGGGAGTAACAAGGAATATTAAAAGTCCAACAGTCAGGTTTTACAGTTTGGGGTTGTTTTTTTTAACAAATTGAAATACAGGTAGTCCTCAGCTTAGAACGATTCATTTAGTGAACATTCCAAGTTACAATGGCACTGAAAAAGTGACATGATCCAGGAGTGAAATTCAGCAGGTACTGACACGTTCTGGAGAACAGGTAGTGGAAATTTTGAGTAGTTCAGAAAACGGGCAAATACCACTTTTGGCTGGCCCCAGAGTGGGCTGGGAATAGAGATTTTGCAGTATCCTTTCCCTGCCACGCCCACCAAGCCAGGCCCACAGAACCGGTAGTAAAAAAAATTGAATTTCACCACTGCTTATGGTCATTTTCATTTAACGACCATTGCAGCATCCCCATGGTCACATGATCAAAACTCAGGTGCTTGGTGACTGACTCGTATTTGTGACGGTTGCAGTGTTCCAGGGTCATGTAATCAACTTTTGCGATCTTCCGACAAGCGAAGTCAATGGGGGAAGTCAGATTCACTTAACAACTGCAATGGTTCACTGGCCATAGATCAAGGACCATCTGTCATAGAAACCGAGCAATGAAAAATGGCCTTCATGGTGCTTATCTCATACGAGAAATTGGGGCCTGGGGAAACATCTTCAGAAAGGCAGATACGATGGGACAATGCAAACTTTGAAAAGTGCTTCAGAGAGCTCTAGGTGAGGATGGCAGCCTTGTAGATAAATTTGGCGGTAGGAACAAGGGAATTCCTGTAAAGGGCTGTTTTGGAAAGAACTTCAAGGCTGCCACTAAGGGAGAATGGTAGTGTGTTTGCACAATCAGTCCTTTTTGTGCAATGGAGAGCTAGCCTCCCAACGAAGTTGGTAAGTTAATAGTTGTGTATCTTCATCTTATTTAGAGGCCGTTGTATCGGGAGGTAAGTTGTCAGTCTGCATTTAGTGGGTGAGTGGCCCTCCACATTTAAGTATCACTCCTAAAACATGAAAAACAGTTTCAGTTTCAGTTTTAGTTTATTTGTATGCTGCCCTTCTCCAGGGGGGACTCAGGGCGGCGAACAACTCAAAGGGGAAGGGAACATNGAGATAGAAAGATTCCCTATGTTTGTGTGTGCGTGTGCGTGTGTGTGTGTGTGTGTATGACAGAGAGAGAGAGGGGGCTTTCTGTATGAGAGAGATAGAAAGATTTTCTGTTTTGTGTGTGTGTGTGTCTGTCTGTCTGAGAGAGAGAGAGAGAGGATTTGTGTGTGAGAGAGATAGAAAGATTTCCTATGTTTGTGTGTGTGTGTGTATGAGAGAGAGGGGGGCTTTGTATGTGAGATAGAAAGATTTTCTATGTTTTGTGTGTGTGTGTGTGTTTGTGTGTGTGTGTGTATGAGAGAGGGGGGGCTTTGTGTGTGAGAGAGATAGAAAGATTTCCTATGTTTGTGTGTGTGCGCGCGCGTGAAAGAGAGAAACAGTCAAAGACAGACAGGGTCTGTGTGTGAAAGAGAGACAGAGATTCTGTGTGTGTGGGGGGGAGATACACACAAACACACACACACCCCTACTAGGGAGAGGAGGACGATTCCAGGTTGCACTGACTTCAATTCCACCAAGAGTCAACTAGGACACAACCTTTCATTCACCTTGCTAGTTATAACGTGGAAATTCTTCTTTTTTCCCCCTCTCAGATGTTTCCTATTTGATTCTTCTTGCAAAGCCAAAGCGCCAGGGGGGCTCCTGAGGTTCTCCACCGACCACCTGAAGGGCGACACCTTTTCTAAAGGAGGCACCTCCTCTTCCTCCCTCCTCCTCCTCTTCCCGGCTGGTCACATGAACCCAGAGGAGACTGTGTTTACTCGCCCGTTTGCACCGTGACGCAACCCGGCGAAAGGTCCCTGCCAACCTGTGATCGGTCGGGGAGCCGGACTATGAGCTTTACTCATTCGCAGCGTAATCGGGCGCCGCAACCACCCAGCCGGTGATACGAGGGGCTTTGCGCCAGGCGCCTGCGCTTTCGGGGAGGAACCGGACCCAGAAGGCGCAGCTCGGCGACGCTGGTGGCGGGCATCCTGCGCCCCCTTTTCCGCCTTGAAGGGGAGCCAGGCTGCCCAGAAGCCCTGCCGGCGGAGGAAGGGGGTTGAAAGGCCCGGGAGCTCTGCCTTCCACGATCCAAGCCAAGCAAGGCACAATCTGCCCTTTGCGCTCCCTTTCAGGATCTCCGGTCGTCGCGGCCTTGCCGGCGCCAGGATCTGTACGGGCCCCGGCTCGAGGTAGGCAGCATGGACAGCCAAGGGGGTGGTGGGGAGGGAGGCGGCTGGGCAAACGGAGGCCGGCCTTGCAAGCTGTCGGAAAGGGAAAGAAAGGAGATGGTGTTCCTCCCCCCTCAACCGGCAGAGAACAGAAGGAGAAGAAAGGGAAAGCAAAAGGGAAAGGGGGAAGAAAGGAGGGAGGGGTGTTTTACTGTTTAGACATGTATGATTCTGGTATTCAAGCACTACGTTCCCACTCTAGGGGGCGGTGCTCATCTCTGTTTCAAAGCTGAAGAGTCAGCGCTGTCCAAAGTCTCCATGGTCATGTGGCCAGCATGACTCAATGCCGAAGGCTGGCAGAGCACTATTACCTTCCCACCAAAGGTGGTTCCTATTTTACTACCTGCATTTTTTACTTGCTTTCGAACTGCTAGGTTGGCAGAAGCTGGGACAAGTAACAGGGGCTCACTCCGTTACACAGCACTAGGGATTCGAACTGCTGAACTGCAGACCTTTCTGATTGACAAGCTCAGAGTCTGAGCCACTGAGCCACCATAGATCATAGATACAGACATTTAAACACAGTTAAGACTGTCGTGTCTGTTTGATTGTTTGTAACCTTCCTTTGGGTGAAATAGCGCATCACAGGACAACAGTTTTTGAGTCAACGTGCCTCAAATAGTTTTTCGCTTACAGAATGCGTTCAAAATCTGGACCTCACTCCTGGGGGATTGTAGTTTGGCAAAGTTGTGTCTGCTTCAGTGTTGCTGCCCTGCTGCAGTGAGCCACAGTCTCGTGATTTTCGTTTTCCAATAATCCCTATCAGCTTCCTATTAAGAAAGTCAGTGGGGAAGCCAGCAGGAAGTCAGAAGTCACTTTATTTATTTTATTTATTTATAAAATTTATATGCCGCCCAATCCCGAAGGACTCCGGGCGGCTTACAAAAAAGGGGGAAAAAAAGACACATAACAAAAGAAAACGGTTTAAAATAGCAACACCTCATATATTCATTCTAGTTGGGGCTTGACCTCAACAGTGAGGTCAACAGCCCCAGGCCTGCCGGAACATCCAAATTTTTACAGCTTTACTGAAGGCCATGAGAGTGGGTATGGTCCGGATCTCTGGG